GTGATGATGGACCGCCCCCCGTTCTTCTGTAACAGACGCACGAGCCTACTGCAGGTACTTTTGTGCAACCACCACAAAAAACTATTCCACCTCCAACTCTAGTACTGAGAAATAGACTGGGAACTTGGCTGCTGTCGGTAGTGTGACACGTTTGAAAAGGCGGCGAAAANCACGACGAGAACATCGCACGAGCCAGCCAATGAACAGACGCACGAGCCTACTGCAGCTACTTTTGTGCAACCACCACAAAAAACTATTCCACCTCCAACTCTAGTACTGAGAAATAGACTGGGAACTTGGCTGCTGTCGGTAGTGTGACACGTTTGAAAAGGCGGCGAAAAGGCCCGCAGCAGCAGTAACGCACCCCAACACACCCGCGGCGTTGCCCGAAGAGACGCCGCACTCGAGAGATAGACAGGGAAGAGCGAGAGAGAGCGAGAGAGAGAGAGACAGATTAGAAGTGTGTATGGCAGAGGTGGCATGGAGGAAACGAAGGGAGAGGATTGTGGCATCGAGGCACCACACGAGCTCGCTGCGAAGTCTGCCCCTTCTCCAGCTGAGGCAACGCAGCAGCTCCAAGCAACAGCACCAGCTCCAGCTACGACACCTGTTACAGCAGCAACTGACGAGTATGGCGATGACGACTTCATGTGGTCCGAAGAAGCAGAGCGAGAGGTAGAGCAAGCGGTGAAGCTCGCCGAGGAAGATCGCGCTAACCGAGAGACCGAAGCGGCAGCAGCGAGGGCCGCGGACAAAGCGGCGCGCGAGCGTTCGGAACTCTCTGTAACAAGCATAAAAAAAATATTTTACTATTATCAACGCTCATTGAGTGCTCATCATCTCAGCCCTGTGTTGCCGCTTCTCACTGATACTGTACACAAACCCATAGGTTGGGAACAGCTTTCTAAGTCACTTGTGTAGCGGTCCCAAATCTCATACGTGTAGCATATGAATGTCTGCTTTTCAGCTCATTTTGTCCCCGGAGCAAAGTAACTTGGTCTCCCATATCTTGTACGTGTGGGTTAGAAATGTCTGCTTTTCGGTCCAAAACGTACCTCGTCTCCTTATCTCTCCAACGTGTCCCGGAACTGCGTACGTGTGCACTGCTATGCACAGCAGACAGACAACAAAATGAGGGTTTCGGTCGTTTTGTAGGCGCGTAGGAAACCCTATCCCGGGTGCAAAATGTCGCCGCGAGGCACAGCGATTTGTTTCTTTTTTATTTCCTTTTTTTTCCAGGCGCCGCCAGTAAAAAATCGCCTACTGGGGTGTTAACGCGCCCTGCAACTTCAACTGTGCTGTGACTGGCTCTCTTCTTACCACGGCCGCAGCAGCTGCAGCAGCAGCAGCAGCAGCAGCAGTACACAGCCAGCCTCACAGCAGCAAAAAAAGACCACCACGCGGAAGGTTGCACGAGGAGAAAGCGTGAACCTCGTACACCAAAACCAACAACGCGCCAGTCGGGGCAATCCAAGACGATGTCGGCTTCGCAACAACGTGAAGATCGTTCACGTAATGACAGCTTCGAGGTCGAGATATTCAAACTCGTCAAGGAGGAGGCGACTTCGGAGAAGTGGAAGGAGTGGCTCGAGCACCTCTGGAGCATACCAAGGCCTAAGGAGACCTGGACCTCTTCACACGGCTAATGGACGCTGGTGCCGGCGTGGAACGAGGCTGGTAGGGATGCCATGGACAAGCAGACGCTGCTGGGTGTGGCTGCATGCAGCAAGAAGAGCGGCAAGATGGTGCGGGCTGTCCTCGAGGTCGGGGACACGAATGTAAACGTCATCTTCGGGAGAAACACGAGTCCACTCTCCACGTTGCGGCGGCGTGGGGTGCTGAAGAACCATGCATGGCGCTCATGGTCGCGGCAGCAGATCCGAATCCGCGTGATCAGGTGGGATTCAGCCCACTCCACATCGCTGCCAAAGCTGGGTACGGTAGGGTTGATGCATACACACGCATCCTTCTTGGGCAAGGGGCCCAAGCACACGCGGAGACGGTTTTCCAGGATATTCCTCTCCACCTGGCGACTTCCCAGGGGCATGCGCTTGGCATCTCTGAGCTTGTGTTGGGCGGTGCAGACAAGGACGTGGACGATGGTAACGGTAAAACGCCTCTGTTCAAAGCGGTAGAATAAAACCAACTCGGGGTCAAAACCCTTCTTGCTGCCGGTGCCACCCGATGCCGTCTCAACAACGAGTACAGCACTCCACTCGAGGAGGCTGCGAACGTTGGCCATGCGACCATCGTGAAGGCCTTCCTTCAAGCAGGAAGTGAAGTGAATGGCAGCGATTATCAAGGACACACAGCTCTACACAACGCTACCGTTATTGAAGGACCAGGTCCTGGTCAAGACGACCAGGCCACCGGCGACCGTTGCTACACGCCTCTCCATGTCGCCGTAGATCGTCGGATAGCATCGATCGGCACGACCCGCGCCGTGTTGGAGAGAGGGGCCAATGTCAATGCACGCAATGACAACGATCTGACCCCACTGCACGTTGCTTGTTCGTGGTCGAGTTTGGCGGTAGTGGAGCTCCTGCTGCTTTGGGGAGCAGATGAGAAGCTCACGGGCGACAACAGAGTATCGCCCGCAGACATAATTGGAGTGTCTCTTCTGGACGGCAGCAACAGCCAAGAAATCCAGGCCGACCACCAGCGCATTCGCCAAATGCTGGCACGCGCTCCAGCCGACAGGTCATGGCGTCGACGTGGCTGGCTGGTGCTGAGCCGTGCCTACCCGACCAGGATGCAGATCGCAAAACGGAAGTCGCACCACGATCACCAGCAGCATTGGTGGCTACGCCAAGGTGGCGAGGGTCAGCCACGAAGATTCAGGTCGGGATGATGAGGAGACGGAGAAGACCAAATCACGGTCGAGGGGGTTGGTTTGGTTGGCAGGGTGGTCGGACTGGAGGTTGACGGCTTGTTCCGCTTGGTGGTGAGCTTCCTATGAGGTACGACGGTGGGGAGAGTTTGGCCGTAGGGTTGACGGTGACCTTGTTGCCATCGAATCAAAGATGTATGACGCGTTCTCGTGAGTGCTGTTCGCAACCAACGGATCTTGGGGATGTCCTGTTTTCTCTATTGCTTCGCATCACGACTCCCGTGGTCTTGGCACACAGGGGTTGATCGATTTTCCCTGGCGATTTCTATGGCAGGAAGCAAGACTCCGATCAGACAGTAGCCGAGCAGCCTTGGAACGGGCTCTTGGACTGGCGCCGACACCGACATCTCGGGTGGCGGTGGCAGTGGCAGTGGTAGTGGCGGTGGTACCGGCAGCGAGATGGAGCGACGCGGACGACGATGATCCAGCTAGATGCGGCCATGTAGACAGCGGAAGCAGCCACCACTTTGTACGAGGTGGCATAGGCGATAACCAGATACACCGCGCTGGCGATGGTCCAGGCGATCTTCGTCAACGCACCACCATCGGTCGAACCCGTTGGCGGACGGATTTCGGCGAGTACGTTGTTGAGGATGGCCAAGTGCTTGCCAGCAATCACGCGGCGCATGCCACCTGGATTCCCGGGGCGATTACGCCGCCCACGAACAAGCCTGCACACGCGAGACTCATTCGGAGCGCAAATTCACCCGTGTAGAGGCTCTCGTCGTGGCCGCTGTTGCTGGCGATGTCACCGGCACGGTTGGTGACCACGGAAGCCTCACAGGCCTTTCGTGGAACCTCAACATAAAAAAACAAGAAAGAGCAAAACCACGTTGGGCACTTTGATATCTTACAGTGCATGGTTGAAACGTTCCTCCGGTATATCGGCAGAATGAGGTGGCCACCGTCGTGAACGATGGGAAATGTCAACAAAAGAAAGAAGAGAGGGCAAAACCACATGCGCGAGCACTTGGATATTTTACCTTGCATGACGGAAACGCTCCTCCGATGTAGCGGCAGAAAGAGCTTACCAATCCCTTGACCCCGTCACAAACGATGGCCGCTGCCGATGCGGCGCCGTGAACGAGGGTGGTTGCGGCGGATTCGACGTTGTACACCGAGAGAAGCACAGCTACCAAGAGAAGCACCAGGGGTAGGAGAAGGACCCATGCCGCCGCCCCGATCAACGCGTCGTCCCCAACGACCTCGATGTCACCAAACGTGCTCTCACAGCCGCCAACCGATTCACCCGTTCCGCACGTGATGTCTCCTTCGGCGTCAAAACAACCACCCTCCCCGCCACCAGCTGAAGCCCCACCAGCCGCCTCGCCACCAGCTAGAGCCCCACCAGCTGCCTTCTCGCCAGCCGCCTCCCCACTCACCACCTCGCCGAAAAAGCCGAATGGGATGTTGATGTCATCGGCCACATCGCCAGGCTAGAATACAATCAGAAAAAAAAAAAGCGGGTTAGATTGACTGAAGGAAGGTGGGAAATCACCATGACGGGCAATGTCAATACGTATCTATCCGTCGCCCGTTTCCTATTATTACGGAGAAACATAGCTACGAAAGTCTCCAAGTGTAATAAACCTTCCGTTTGAATTGGAAGGCTTTGCCGTTCAAGCTATGCAGCATAGCCGTTGCCCGAAGGCAATTGTTTTTGTACTTCGGGAGGACATGGAATCCGGGCTCTCACAATATTCAGAGGTAGCTGTTGTGCAAGCCCGACATCGGTCGGTTTGTCATTGAGAGAGATCATGCAGTGGTCAGAGTCGAAGCCGACTCCGGGAGAACGTTTTTGGCGCGTCGGTTAAAGGATGGTTGCGTGTTAAACCACTGTGCCATTACGGACTTGCTCCAACAGCTTTGCTGAAGTACGCCACGCAAAGTCCGCCTTTCTTTTGGCCGTGGTAACATGCGTTTTCGTAACATTCTCTCCACAACACTTGGACGAGACTCACCGGTGGCACGGAAATCGCCTCGAAGTGTCCCCAGGGATGTAAAAGAAGCAGGGGGATGCCGTCGGTGCGCTCGTGTGGCCCGTACGTGAATACCATTCTTCCTTCCTTGTCGCTTTTGACCATCCTAAAGCCATCCAGACGCAGCCTCTCTGCCCCGATAATCACCACCCTCCACCCGAGGTAGCCGTTGTTGCAAAGTGTCACGGGGCGTTGAACATCGCCATCGTCTTGATGTCGTAGTCCGACCCTGTGTTGTACACGACGTTGGCGAACGAAGGAGATTCCTTCTTCCCGTTGTCAAGAAGTCCATCGCACAGTACATGGCCGTCTCGCGGAGCTGCCGCACCCTGTGCTCCATTTGTGGGTAAGCTCGCCGTTCGTGGATTCGATTACGGCATCGAGAGGGACTCCGTCCAACAGATCGCGTAGACCGATGAGGCCGAGGAGCGCGCACTTGCCGAGGCCAGCGTTGGGTAACGCGATGGCGGCGTTACCTGCGGTGACGTGGAGACGGACGATATTCTGAGGTGCTTTCTCCTTCTCCGTCTTCCTTTCACGCCTCCTCGCTCTCGCCCGCTGGCGCTGGCGCGTCTTCGCTTTCTGCTTCTCACGCCGCTGCCTGGCCGTTTGACGACGTCGCTTGTTTCACCTGGCATGATTGCGAAACGCGTTACATCGAGTGGTGGGGTGGGTGGTCAGGGGGTGGAGTCATGCAGTTTGTCTGATAGAGTATTAACAGAGAAGTACCGAGAGAGAAAGAAGGAATATATACGGAAGATACTCCCTCTGCCCGGCAATATAAGACCGCTTCGGGAATCCGTGAATATTAAGCCGGTTCGTAGTTTAGGTGGCGAGACGTTGCTATTTTTGTATATTTGTTTTGCGTGATGCTCCGATAGGATAGGTGCTTCTTGAGGAACGAAAGAACAGGGATATTCTTGCATCATCCCTTCCCCAGAGAAGCTTAATAGCGGCGATGATCTCAAGCGAAAATTGTCAGCAAGGAAACATTTTCGTGTTATCATTGCTCTCGCACGGCCCCAATTAAAAGTGTTTTTCCCGATTACATTTTCGCATATAAAATTTGACGACTTAAGCTATCTGTAGACCGCCCCATTTAATTGTTGTTCCTTCATCTTTGCTGTTGACCGGAGGCAAACCGTCAGGGTTACGATAATAAGACACTTTAAAGAGCAAAAATAACGGGACGAAATATTGTTTTGAAGTAAATGAGTGGTTTTTTGGGCAAAATAAATGTTTTGTGAGTGGGGATCGAACTCATCATGACGATTGTGCTTACCAAGTCTGCGAGTCACATACAACTTTTTGTCCCAACCGGGCTTGTACTGTGGCGCGCAGAGGGAGTTTAGAGTACGGGGGCCCCGTGGGGACTAGCATGGTGGAGGGGGGGGTATGCGGTTGGCATCACACGTTGGGGAGGGTGGGGGGGGGGGCTGTGTTGTACAAACCATCTGTAACTCGCGCGAGTTACACAATAACTCGAGCGAGTTCCAAATGACGTTTTCGGCCAAAGAGTCACCCAGATTTGTTTCTACCCTAGATGTTGGGAATGTGTTTTACTAGGTTTAGGGTGTGAATCGGGCAGTGGCCTTTATCTTGTAGGTCATGTGGTGCCCGAAACAGTATTTGTCCGGTGTCCGAGACAGGATTTGTCCAATTCTCCTCGTATCAGATTTTTCATTTGTGGGCGCTTGGAAAATATCGTAGAGAGACTACCCTGATGGAGATGTGGTTGAAGTCTTGTCAGGGCGAGGTGATTGTCAGTAGGACCGGCGGAAAGAGTTGCAACAAGCGACAGGAGTCACTCAAATCGCTCCACTGCCGTCGGACGTGTAGACTGCAATGGACTGGACATGCGAATAGTCAGCCTCCTCCAAACAACCGCGACCAAAAGGGCCCGCCTGTCTTGCAATGAGATACGGGAGCATTCTTTCAATCCAAAAGGAAGCGTGGTGACCCGGCAACACTCACGTCGTTCACCATTCCCCATGAAGGTCGAGAAAACTGCCCCAGCCACCACTCCCCTTTTGATACGTAAACCGGGTAGATCACAGCTTGTGTGTACGTGGAGAAAAGGTAGCTCGGCCAGTGAGGGCCGAGACGGGGAACAGTTGAATTGGAGGGCAGTGGGAACCGGAGTAGCACCACCCGAGAGGAGGGCATCACCACATCCATCCGTCTGTCACGCAATTCAGATCACAACCGCATCTCCGAGGACACAAAGTAGAAACTCCCCTGTTCTCCCGCAATCTACCGACAACAATCTCCTTACATCTACATTGGCCCATATTCTGCTACTACCACCTTTCACCACATCGATTGTCGGCCCGATAATATTGGGATAGACTAACCCAGGGACATTATGCAACACCAGCATATGGCCAAAACATCCAGAAACATAGATAAGTATGGGCCACTCCTGTTTTGTACAACCCTGGATGTCGGTTGTCTACAGCTACAAGTACCAAAGAGGGCAAACAATGTTGTTTTCACAAAACACTTGCACGTAAATATCATAGATCTACATATTGAAACTGTGGCACTTCGTACTCCTTCACTAATAGTTAAAGAAACAACTAACCCAAGCTCATGCGTGGTGGTCGGTACTGTGACAACACTCGCGTTCATACTATACAATCTGTCGTCCCTACATTCCTTTCATGCGCCGTCACCACGGTTTCAACAGGATCTCAGGCTTCACCGACTGAAATCATCAGCCCAAACAACAAAAAAGGCCACCGCGTACGGAGCTCTTCCGATGCAACGAGCGTAGCTCCCTCCTCCGGCACAACCTCGATACTTATGTGCAATGCTATCGCGATATATCTCCGTTCCTTCGTGAAAAAGAGGTCGCGAGTGGCACGGGCTCCCAGCTGGTCGGCGTGCTTCTCGAAACGTGCACCACGAGCCCATTCACAGGAAGGGTGTTGAGACCTGTGTGTGTTAGGTGGCGAAAGTAGGCACGTCAATCGAAGAGGGTTGAATTGGAGAGTGTTTGCAGATAGATAAATTGCGGGGCGTCTTTCCAAAGTACATTGCGCTTGCGGAAGTAGACCACACTAGAGTGCAACACAGATATTTGTGTAAGACAGCACGCGCGCAACCTTCGGCGAGGGAAGGGAAGCATAACCGTCGACGCGATCAGAACGTACCTTGTGGGCTGGGGCTACCGAAGCGATGGCGTCGCAACTTGAACATCGAGGCGGAGAACGGACCTTTAAGCTTGCTCTGATGCCCTAGCACCTCACAACACCACAATTTGAGGCGGTACGGCTTCGCTTCAATCTCGAGACCAAATACATCCACCAAACCCGAAACAATTCCAAATTTCACCGGTATAGTACATTCCGGAAAACCTTGCGAAAGACTCAAACAAAACCACACCTTTCCGGCCAATCGTCACAGCTCCCCTTGCGGCTGCCACAGTTCCTAGGTGCCTCTCCTCCGATCGACAACCCCTCCATCGCGACGTCCTTCCCCATCCCTGCCTTGCCCTCGGCCGTCGACACCGACGTGGGTGCAATGTCTTCGATGACCGGCTCTCCCGGGCCCCCTCTCTTCCTCTTCGACGAGCTGGCACCACCGATGCCGTATCCGCCAGCAGCGCCAGACCCCGCCTCTCCATCGCACCACGACGAGACGCAAGCGGGAATCCGGTCACCCTCCGCCCCCTCCTCCCCAAGGGCCCTGTGTCCGCATCGGCCATCACCGGGTGTCGGAAGCCCGTCCCGCCCACCCAGACCACCACTTGCTGCAGGCTTGCCGAAAGCACCGCCGTCAGCGACCCTGCGACGGAAACGAATGCTCGGACGGCCGGCCGTGGCCTTGCCTGCCCCCACTGCCGCAGCTGCTTCTCTAGCTGTCCTGGTTTTCCTCCGGGCCTTGTCGGACACGAGGTCGCGAATGGCCCGCACTCCCTTCTGGTCGAGGTGTTCGGCGATAGTCGCCTCGAACACATCGTGCCCCAAGGCCTTGCGGCACCTGCTTGTTCGTGTCACGTGTTTCGGACACGCCAGGAGCGAAACCACACAAGTGATGTAAGGCACGATCGCAAAAATAATGTGATTGAACAACGAACAATATCCAAGTACCTGTGGTGTTCAGGCGGCCTTGTTCTGGCGATGTCCATCNTAACAATCCTGCCGTCTCCTGTACAATCTTCGCGCTTCCGCCATACACGTCAAACACCTCCCAGCTTCTGTCCGTTTTCGTTGCGATGTATATGGCCACCACTAGTCTCCTATTGTAGAGATCTTCTTCTCGGGTTTCTTTTGCACACGTAAACCTTGTCAACTCAATCGCTTCTCTTCGTTTCTCACCAAGGACGCTCTTCTCGCTAAAAAAACTACACTCCCAAACCCATGTGTGAGCTCTCCTTTCGAGCGCCTTGTCTCATGGGCCTGCCTCCGCACCCTCTCACTCCTCCGCTCTATTTTCCGGTGTATCGTTTCCTCCTCTTTGGCAACACAAGCTTCCCTAGCTGAAGCTCGGCTGCAGTTTCGCTTACACAGTCCATCGGGTCACCAAGACGGGTTTCGATTAATTTCCAATGCCCTCAAGTTCCGCGCTATGTCTCAGTGCTGTCATAGCATTTCCCCTCGTTTCTATCGTATGTCACGTCTTCTTTGCACCCTCTCGGATATTCCGACGGCAATACACTTGTTGAAATTCTCCAATCTCCTTCCCCACTCCCATCTCACTCCCAGAGAGACGGAAAAAAAGCGAGGGGCGGGGCGGGGCGGGGGG